CTGACCCCATCAGTGCCGACCCAACTACACCACCACGCGCATGCCTCGCGGCGGATATGCGCAGCAGCAAGAAGGTTTCGGTCATCCCTTGAGGGTGAGTCTAGCCCTGCTCGCCAGAAAGACCCCCCCCTTCACTACAACCCATGTCTAAGCAAAAGCTTGTCGAGGAGCGAGGGGAAAAAGGGAGAAGAGTACTTGGGTACGGAGCAGCAATGAGCCAGGCAACTGCTGCTGACAAAAAAACAAACATGACCGCCGAAGGGAAGCGGTAGGCACCAAATGGCAAAGGCATTTCATCGGTTTGATTTGAATTTTAGTTTTACATCTTGAAAGGGTTCATCTTCATTCTTCATCCTTGTACGGGTTGTTTTGCAGTGCTGTAACCGCGTGCCACAGGGCGGGTTTCCGCGGGTAGGCTGGGTGTGGCTCTCGTACCCGGGTAAGGTACGTACCCAGGTTAAGTTTGGGTACGACTCTCGTACCCGTCCCCAACGTTTGGTGCGTTGGGTATGACTTTCGTACCCGTACCTAAATTCTGGGTACGTTGGGTACGACCTCTCGACCCGTGCCCAACGTACCCAAAATATGGGTACCACACCCGTACCCACCCACATACCCATAGCCACGCATCATCTACCCGGGTTACCCGGGTACATTGGGTACGACTCTTGTAAACGTACCCAAAATTTGGGTACCTTGGGTACGACTCCCGTACCCGTACCCGAACTCTGGGTACGTTGGGTACAGGACCCGTACTCGTACCTATATTCTGGGTACGTTGGGTACAGTACCCGTACCCATACCCAACGTACCCGTACCCTACCCAACACACCCTTGGTGCCCTGGTTTTCCTCGCAGCTTCGAAACACCCCGCACTCGCTGGGCTCAAACGCACCGCGACACCCACAAGGAAGCGTTAGTTGGGTGGTTGCCTCGTGCCAGTATGAACACATACGCACGCAAAATCCTACAATAGCAACAAGTGAACCGGCAACAACCCAGCTAGGCCGCGGCATTTGGACCACTGCTAGATGCACCAACGAGGGAAGCATCATCCATGCTGAGGCAGACTGCATGATGTACACTTGCCTTTCTTGGGCTTGAAGTTCGTAAGGAGGTCGTCGTCCACTGGCAGATGTGAGCCCACTGGAGGAGTGTTTTTTCCAGCAGACGCCCCAGATTTGGCCACCGACCTGGCGGCTCGCCCAGCGGCCGCTCCTCCCTTGCTCAAAGCACCTCCCATCTTGTTTGCGCAGCTGTAAATACGTTTTGCGTGTGCGCCGCAACCAAAAAAAGACTTGAGAAAAACGGGTTTGGATGTATCGGTTCGGCCCGAAAAAACATGTAGCGCCGCGTTTTCTTCAACTCAGTGTAGCCAGCAGCGAGTCGAGCACAAGCAGAGGGAGGGTGGAGCATGTATGCACGCTTGCGCTTCGTTTATTTCTTGTTCAAATATGAGTCGTGTGACTCCTAGTAGGTGCGCTGCGCAAACAGTTTGGTTGACTGAGGGCTCTCATCGCTTGAAAATCTGGTCACATTATCAGGTCCCGCCCGCTCGATTCGACCAGTTCCTCTTTGGTGTGTGCGTGCGAGAAAGCAAACCCTGAACGACAAAGACTGGCTTTTCTCCGGAGCGGGATCACTAGAAGCGTGATGTGTTGTGATACAATGACAGCTCGCCCCACGTTTGTTGAACGACGAGGAACGCACATACATGATGAGTCTGACGCGGGCGTCATTGAGCTCTCCCTCCACGGATGGATGTGTAAAGTCACTGCAAAGACCCCCAACACATCCCCTTTCGACAGAGGTATTATCTCGAACGGATAGTCTTTCAGTGGTTGCGTGTATAGACTATATGTAATTGCTAACGAAAAGTCACCAACCTACGTGTTGCAAGAACAGTACGCCGCTATGTTTTGGTTGAGTGCGGGACAAGGGGGGTGATGCTGCTGCTGTAGTCGAATTGTAGTGTAGTAGGTGCACCTCCTCGGGCTTGTGTGCCCTTTTCTTGATAATACTGCTGTGCGTGTTCTTTAGATCTTCTGATGGCTCTATGCATAGCATTTTTGTGACCACGGACCGAGTCTTTGCTAGATTTTGGGATTAGCAACTGACACGAGTTTAATGTGAAGAAAACAACAACAACTCAAAATATTCTACAGTTTTTTTTCTTTTGTTTTTGCTTGTGACTTACCTCTGTCCACACTTGTACGGAGCTCGAATTGAGATGTCCGCTTTCGTGTACCGTTTCAAAGCCGCTTGGCGTCGCCACCAGGAGTAGGCACCAGGAATCTATCGACTCTTAATCGATCCGATCTAAGTAGTGTAAGAGTTCAACCCACAATAACCCCCTTAAATGAACGAGCTTACAAAGTAGCTCCTCGTCTGGTCTACCCGGGAGCTACCTCGCTCGTTCCCCTCGCCCCCCCAAACCGGGCGCCGCCGTCTTCCCCGCCTCCTCGTCCCCACCACTGAGCAACGCCACCATACCCTGGGCACCACGGGATCGGCGGTGGTTCTGACTGCCACATCCTCACGGCAGATCAGATGTAATCCTTCGCACTGCCACTGCCGCTACCGCTTCTTCCTTCGGCCGCGGAAGGAACCCGGGGTAGAGCCGCCGCCGCCGCCCGCCGCCATCCCTGTCATTGCATGGTCCAACCGTCAGCGCGGGGGGGCTCGCCTGAATGTTGGCCACCGAGTCTGGCGCGGTCTTCGTTCTTCTGCTGCCGTGGCCTCTATGGACCACGGTCGTGGTCGTGGTCGTCACCGTCCCCACCGCTGCCGTTGCCGCCGCCGCCATCGTCAGACCCTTCCTCCTTGGCCACCGAGTCCCCTCCCTCCGCCGATGCCCCTTGCTCGCTGAACACGATGGACACGCCCGCTGCTCCGAAGAAGGCGCCACGCGCTATATCCGAAGGTGACAGCGTGCGGAGCAGGCCGTTCGAGGCGACGGCGCGCACAAATCTGTCGTATTCGTCGTAAACGCATCCAAGCTCTTGCCCGGTGAGGGTGTGGTCAAGGCCGGACTGTTCGGCGAAAACCTCCATATAGTCCATCGGACCGGGGCAGGTGAGCTCCTCCGGCAGGGTGAGCATCAGATAATAGAAGAGTGCCAGCAAGATCGTCTTGGGGTCGCCTGCGCCTGGCTGGCCAAACACTGGACCGCCGTTCTTGCCCCTGCCCTCCGAAGCGGCTTTCGTGATCGCCAGCATCTGGTCCATGATCCCATAGAAGTCGACGGAGCTCTCGCCAAGCTTGTCCAGCCGACTGATTGCGTGTGATACACACGCCGCGGGCAGAAGGCACAGGTCTTTGTCGCTCCCCCTGCTCAGGAATCCCGGTATCCCGGCGGTCACCCCGAGAGTGATGGCCGCAAGCGCGACGATGGGCGTCGGCGCATTGATCCTGTCGGTGATCTCTCTGATGACTGACAGGGCCCACCTGACCTTGCCCTCGGGGATGCTCTCGTAACCCTCCCTGCATCTGGGGTACGCCCTCTCTTCGAGGCAGAGGTGGGCGTCCACCAGCTTGTCGGAGCGGCCGTTGTTGAAATCGCCGCCAACAGCAAGGCCACCACGTGCGCACACTTGGTCATAGTACGCATCCTCAGGGTGGCTCACCAAAGGCGGAGGAGGTTCATCATCATCGTCGTCGTTGGAGCCACAGTCGGAGTCGCGGTCGGAGTCGGAGTCGCTGTCGCGGTCGGAGTCGCTGCCGGAGTCGCGGTCGCAGTCGGAGCAGGACACAGAGGTGGAGTCATAGTCGGAGTCGAAGATGCTGACGACACCACTAGCAAGTCGACCACGTGCGCGCACTTTGTCAAAGTACTCATCCTCCGAGTCGCTCACCAAAGGCGGTGGAGGTTCGTCGTCGTCGTCGTCGTTGGAGCCGGAGTCGCTGTCGCGGTCGGAGTCGCGGCCGGAGTCGCGGTCGGAGTTGGAGTCGCTGCCGGAGTCGGACCCGGAGACAGAGTCGGAGTCGGAGTCGGAGTCGCTGTGACCACCATCGCCGCCGTCGCCCTCCTCCTCCTCACTGCCATCGCCATCGGTGTTGCTGTCGCCCTTGGCATCGCTGTTGCCGTCGGCGATGCCGTCGTCCGTGTCGCTGTCGCTGTTCGCGCGAGTATGATGAGGGGATTCCCGCAGCAGGGCGACGTTGTTCGGCGTGAGGGTCGGCTGGGCCCACGCAGCGCGGTGATCCCTCTTCGTGTCCACCGAGGCCCTATCCTTCTCAGGAATGTTGCCTGCGGCAATGCCTCCTGCTGAGCTGGCGGTGCCAGCGTGCCGCTGTGGTCCTCCTGCCCTTGGGATGGCTGGAACTCCCAGAGCGGTTCGAATGAGGCGAACTCGTGGAGCGCCCAGACGCTCAGACGCTCAGACGGGTCGTCGTGCAGCAGGCCGGCGAGAATACGGATGGTCTGTAATTCAGAGAAGATATGTCGCAGGTGCGATGTGGCGACCGATGAGGAATTTTCGAACGATAATAGCACCGGGAGGCACAGCCCCGTGTCAATATTGCTGTTGTGTTCAGGGTCAAGGGCTGTTAGAACGTAGAACGCTATCGCTGAGGCAGTAGAGCTGCGTGGTGTTGGCGATGGTTTTTCACGTCGACCACAAAACGAATTTGAACCGGAGCAAAGTTAGCCCTCGTAATTAGAGTTCTAAAAGAGGCTTGGGTAGGGGTTCGATTCTACCCCGAACGAGATCAACTTTCAAGCACTATCTAAACACCCTGCCTGTTCGTTGTTGGAGGGATGGAGCTAAAAAAAGTGGCGAAAGGAAACCGCCCTGTGCTTCAACCAGGGATCCGAGTCTAAGCATCTACTACCCCTCCTGCGCACCGATCAACAAGGCCAACTTGGTGTAGATGGACATGGATGGATGGGCAGCAGAAACATATCGAGACTCACGTGTTCCTTGAACAGGAGGGGTGAAGACGGCCTGAACACCTCTGGGCTCAAGACGATTTCCTTCGTTGGCCTTCGCGTCTCAACCTCCGTCTCCACGGATCTCGTCTTCATCGACGATCCAAAGCAGGACCACCAAAGCGGACCAGAAGGAGCAGGACAGGAGCGGGGGGGGGGGGGGTACTCATAGTCGTGCATGCCGTAGTCGTTAGACCATTGACCTCGCATCCCTACAAAGCCGGGACGGAGCACGCCGGGTTCTCACCGGACCAGGCTCTCACATCACCAAGCGCGAAGCGCCGTGAGATATTCGGCGAGTCGCATGAAGGGTGCGCTGCATCCTGCTAAGGGTGTTCGGCATCTTGTGCTTACTTCCTTGCGTACGGATGACAGCTGCGTATGAATTAACATATTTTCTGGTGCTTTCACTTCCAGAGACAGTTGTAAGCACTGTGTAACTGCCTCGAGGGTGCTTGACCATTTTAACACAACGTGGTGCGATCATCCCCCTTGCGCGGAGTGAGGGTTCTCCACCCCGCACAACATGATCTACTCGACCACCATTATGGTTACCGCCAAAAAAAAAAACGGAGGTAAAAAAAAAAAAAACGGTAACCTGGTTGCCGAGTTCACGAAGTGAATTGGCTTGTTTTACAACGTCGTTGCCAAGCGACGAAAACCCAACCCCGATGGCAAACACCGGGTGTGGGGAGGACAGGGGGGGGGAGAGGTAAAACGATGAAATGTTGAGATGGGGTTGTTGTGTCTTGCCGCTGCTAGTATTCATTGCTGTTGCTGGCCCTGCTCATGTTGGTTGTCTTGCCGTTCATGGGTCAAACCATCACATGCTCACAGACCAATATATCGGTATCAAACATGGTGCGACCGGTTTCACAGGCAATCGAACCTCCGAACAACAAATCTCGAACCTCCAAAGAAAGCACCCTCACCTCTGCCGATAGCGGAGGCATGGGGTCGCGTGCGAGGACCTGGCAGCGTATCTGTCCGAGGGCGGAGGCGTCAATACTCCCCCGGAGAAGGACGAGGGTGTTGCACTCTTCAGTGGCGTAGGCTTTCAACCACAAACGCATCGAAATCGACCATTAATTGAACCGGTTCTACGTCGGTAGAATATAGTATGCCCGACGAACATTGTGCAAATGGACGGCATAACATGAGACGGGATGAGACGGGATGGGATGGGATGGGATGGGATGGGATGGGATAGAACGGAAAGACAACGAGTGGGAGTACGCATCGGGGTAGCGCCGTCAAGTGTGGAGCTCTGCCCCCAGTAGTCTACGCAGTGGTTCTTAAGTAAGCAAACATACTGGATGAAGTGTAGAATCGGCTTAAGTTGGGGCTCGGGCTATGTGTAGAGTCTGCCTACCCCCTGCCTGGAATTTTTTCGTGATAAACTTGTTCTCTTTGCGTAGGCAGTCCATGGCTTGATCGATTTGTTTGAAACTCTCACACCAAACCAACGAACCTCCGGCACTGTCGGAGTCACGGATCAACCATCTCGCGTTTTTGCCGGAGACGACCCGCACGCATTTCGGGTCGATGTTGCCGTGAGCGAAGCCTTGGTCGTGGATTCTCAAGACCCCGTTCACCATACCTCCAAAGAGCCTGTGGGAGACGAACCAGCAAAAATACACGCCAAAACACAGCGAAGTCAAAGAAAAATACCAAAAACTTTGCAAGTGGGTAGGAATGACTTCAGTACCCAATAGGACCGACGAAATTCAATCATGACCAGCAGCACGTTCGAATGATGCAGTTAGGGAACAAATAATCAAGGGAAAAATGCGCTACTTGCTTTAATTTTCGTGCGGTGCTCACCTCATCATGTCTAGGTTGGACATGCCTTCGTGAAGGTGCGGATCGGCCAGCATCTCGTGCAGGTCGAGATCGGCGTTCGCGAAGGCCAGGGTGAGGATGTCGCTGCCGTCGTGGGGACCGGCCAGCTCGATGGTGTAGTGGAGGGAACCAAGGCTGCACGTACATGCAACGAGTACAGAGATATAGATAGCAGCAGAAGGCCGGATCAATGGACCGGGAGGGAGAGTGTAATCGTCACGACGGCGGCTCGCAAACTCGTCTATCTTCTGCACTTTTACATTTGTTTGCTGTCGTCGGTGCTACGACCGCTACTGCTACGACTGTCTGTACTGCTTGCGGTAGGTTTGAAACCAGCTTCTCTTCCGCAGAGAAGGGAGTATAGCTCTCTGACAGTTGATGATGCGGGTCATGGCTTCTTGGTAGAGGAAGCGTGCGACTTTCCCATGAGTGCCGCAAACCCTAAGAAGTACTACTTTGTGAGAAAAATGGGAAAGCAAACAACTCTTGTGTACGTAGGGCAGTGCCATATATATGTACGCAAACAAAATGGTATGCCGAACGAAACTGCCAAAGACGACAGACAACTCTCACATCCTGAGGGACTTGAGTTCTCGCGCCATCCGGTTGTCTTTGGTGATCCCTGCTCCCTGGGCGGCCATCGCGCGGGCTGCCTCCGGCACGGTTGCGGTAGCACCTCCGATGCCTGAGATAAGCACTTGGGGAAGGAAAGAAAAAGTTGGGCGATTGCTTCTTGTTAAAGTTTGTTGCAGGGTGTAATGTTAGGTTAAACTGTTTAGAAAAATACGACCTGAACAACTGCCAGAGACGGCAAATAGATGGGATTGAGAAGAAAAGAACAATAGAACAGAACCAAAAAATCTTACCGGTGGGCATGTGCCCGTCGAGGGTGATCATCTGTCGTCCCGTAACACTTCCTGTCGAAGTCTCTTGGCTGGATCCTGCATCATCCCGTGGGGGCCTTTCCATCATCGTCTCAGTTGGTGTCGCCTCAGAGTCGTCGTCCATCACATCGTCGGCGCACGCCGACGGGGGACTTGGGGCGGAGATCACATTTTCCGCGCCCCGCACGTTTCGTTCCCAGAAGCCGTTCGACCTATCACAAGGCGGCGGCCACCAACGGTCGGTGTGGTGGAGGGAATGGGCGAGGGGGGGGCGGGAATCAATCGTTGTTGCTCTTGCGCGGGCAGAATTGCAGATAGTACTACAGTGAGACGATATTGTTAGAGGGAGGTAGGTGCGATCGATATCATTAAAAAGATAGCATAGACCAAAATCAACGTCAATGATGAGTACGATTTTGAGGGAGGTGTGGAACGATTTGGACGTGTCTGGAGTCTGTACTGCTTCTCACCGCTTCCTAGCCAAAGGATTGTCGTCGCCAACGTCGTCGTCCGATCCGCCCGAGGAAATCTGCCCTGCCGCTACCGTATCGGCGGACTTTGCTTCGCCGCATGTGTTGAGGACGCTGTTGATGGTGGAAGTCATCATCTCGAAGGCGATTGCCGCGGCCGATGATCCCTGCCACCAAAAATGATTTGCAGTCATGTGAGGCGAATTCGAAAAAGAGATCGAAAGTCGTTGTTAGTGATGATCTTCGTTCTTGGCTGAGACTAGCGTTTCTCGCGTATTTCCCTCTTTTTTATTCTAGAACGAAATCACGTGAGGAACCGCTTGCCCTAAGGCTGCTGTCGGCTCGATAGATACGCTAGATGATGTTGGTCACGGGAAAAAACAAGGAGGATTGTCAACTTTCTAAACCTGGACTAAACTACCAAACACAACCTATGTCCACAGATACATACATACATGCATATGCGCGCCTGGACGTACGTGGGTCTCTCCACAGAATTCCCCCCCAGATACACAATGTTGTCTCCGATCGCTAAACGCAGTGGTTAACTTAATGGAGACGAGTGCGCTAACCACGGGGGGTGAGATTCGCCCACGAGGATCACAACATGTTAGACAGAGGGGCAACGTGTACCATCTCTGTTCTCGGCCTCATTCTTGCAAACGAACGATGCCCTTACCTTCTTGGCCTCCTCGCTGGAGATACGCTTCGCGTGGAAGTTGAGCAGGCGGGCGTGGTCCTGTCGACCTTTCACTGCCACGCCAGACCCAAGGAGAAGCTGCTGCAGCTGTCCAATGTGCCGTTTGCCTTTGGCGGCCCACCTCTGAAGTCCTTTCGCCTTGGCTTCGTCGCTAGGGCCGCTTCTGGTCGACAAGCAAATCCCGCCCTTGCCGGCCTTCCCCGCACCCCTGGTCTTGTCCTTCTTCAACTCCTTGTGCGCGGTTTGAAGGAGGACAATGGCTTCCTTCCGTTCTTCGGCCGTGGTGTCGCGAAGCCGGGCAGCAGCACTGCGAGCAACCTGGGGCTGACTCCCGCAGTTGCCGCAGCCGGTTCCGCTGCCGCCGCTGCCGTCGCCGGCGTCGGTGGCGGGCGAGTCGGCCTTGATAACCGCCACGAAGAGCATCAACAAGTGCCCCACCTGTTGCACAACGCCGGCCGGGGTACCCATGAGCATCTGCAGCAGCTCTCGGAGCTGCTTTTGCGATGGGTGGTGGACGACCTGATCCGAGACGCCGACACTGACGGCGGTGTCATTCATCTTCCTTGCTCCGGTTGCAGCTCGTGACATGTTTGTCTTCTGTCGGAAAGCGGAAGCGATAGTGTTGGGAGTGCGAGCGAAAACAAGATTAGCCCCAACCGAATGGCCTCCAAGCAAAATTACAGATAGGTGTTGGGTTGTTGGTGCAGCAGCACCGTGTGAGACGGTATTTCGTTGAAAGTTTGGTGTCAACGATCTTGATTGCAACGAATACCAAGGAGTGCTGTGGGCGCCCATACAGCAAGGCCAAAGTATGGCAAGCGTTGCGCTGAATGTAGACTTGTATGCGTAGACGGTGCCCATTAAAGTAACCAACTACGTTCGTTTTCGACAACACCCAGTCGATGGCTGTCGATGCGCTTGCTTGCGCTTCGACACAACTCTGAGGCTGCTCTCACGCACCACCCCACCCAGGCAAACGTCCCAGAGCTGGGTAGTTCACAGAACGAATTCAGCTATTGTCGAAGCATTCATCATCAAGCGTTGGCATCATCAAGTTTGTTCGGGGGGAACCTTCGGTTGGTGCATCGCCCGCCTCACCTTGTCTTCGAAAATAAGTAAGTAGTATGTTAATAACGATTCGCCAGCAGTCAATTCTGGTATCGAGTCGCTGAGGGTTGCGCGTGCTCTACAGAATACCAGATAGATGGATCCTTTTGATGGTCAGATGAGTTGCACCAAGCGATACGTTTATAAGGTTTCATGAGTTGTCTCTTTGAAGCGAACAAAACTGTTAGGGGTGCCAATCGGGGCGATTTTGGCGGCAAAAAAGTGACCGGTCTATTCGAGGATTTTGAGAAAAAAAAGGGGGGCACGCGGACTTTTTGGTTCTCAAGTCAGCTCTTGAATCATACCAATCAAAGTATACTTTATCCTCCGTACTTTGTATAAGTAGCTCTGCGTCCAGGCAGCGACGTGGCTCTTCATACGTTGCACACATGTGGACACAAGTCCAATAGAGGACACTGCAAGCTCGGTTTATGCGTAAGTTTATAGGGCGGATGAACAACCCAGAAAAACCTACAAATTTCAGCTGTATGGCCAATG